TTAAACCATTTTAAAGTAGAATCTAATGAATTAGACCCCCTATTATCTATATTCTTTATTTAATTAATAAGAAATAGCTAGAAATAGTATAAAAGTTCGGATAAAAGGTTTAAATTATTAGACTTAGATAAATTTTCTTAGTAAATGCTAGCCCTACTTAGTATAATTTACTCTTATCTTTTCTTTTTCTTTATTTTTTCTTCTCTAATTCTTCTCTAATTCTTCTCTAATTCTTCTCTCTTCTCTAATTCTTCTCTTACTTATCCTTTATATTAATATCTTAATTATTACTTTATAGTAATAGTATTAATAGTATTAATCTATATAATTCTGTATTATCCTTCATACTCTTTACCCTATTCTTTATACTATTAAAATCAATTAAGTAAGTTAAGATTAATAGTAAAGAGTATATACTTTAGGCTAAATCTATAAGTAAAGACTTTAAAAAATAGCAATTAGAAATCTAGTATAGATTAATTCTATCTAGATTTAAAATAGGATAAGATAGAAACTATATTTCTTTAATTTAGTAAAGTTTATAGTAATTAGCTAGGCTTTAAACTAGAAAATCTTAAGTTTAGTATTTATACTATAGAAATATCTTTATCTATCTAAATTAGTAATAAATAGTATTAATATAATCTAAAAATTATGAGAATAGAGTAAAATACTCTAATATTTAATAATTTATATAGAAAATAGAGATTTAGCTCTTTTTATCCTATCTTTTTATTTTTTATCCTATCTTTCTTTCTCAAAAAGCTAATAAGCTCTTTTATAATAGACTAGCTACTAATCCTATTAATCCTATTCTATTTATTTTTTAATAATTTATAGGAAAAATAGCTTTTAACTACTATTACTAGTCTATAGCTCTCTTTTAATCTAATTAAAAGCCTATATTTCTAGAATCTTCTATAGCTTATCTAAGTAGTATCTTCTATTCTATCTTTCCTCTATAGTTTGATAAATTAATATAGATTAATAAAAGAGACTAAAACTTAATAAAGGGCTATTCTTAATATTCTACTCTTTACTTCTAAGCTCTGATTTAGCCTTAATTATTAGATATTCTCTTTTTAATTAGTATTTATAGCTATAATAGGCTATTTTCTTAATAAATTATAGGAGTATAAAGAAGTACTCTTAGGGTTTAAGCCTTTATTAAGGCCCTATTCTAATAAAAATCTTATAAAAATAGTATAAACTACTATTAAAGTATCTAATTTATATTATAGCTAATAATACATTAAATAACTATACTTTAGTAGATTATCTCTAAGCGATATACCCTATATATTTATCTATTAAAAATCCTTATATAGCCTATATAATTTAGCTAAGCCTAAAGTAGCTATTTAGATAGCTAAAAGTAGATCTTAAGAATAATATAATTAATCTTATTTAGTTCAAAGATCTCTCCTATAGTAAAAGAGATATAGAGAGTATAGCTCAAACTCTCTAAAAAGCTTAGAACTTAGAACTTAGCTATCTATATTAATATAAGCCTATAATAATAAGATATCTTCTTAAAGCTTTAAGATTAGATAAGAGTATATCTTATTCCTACTTTAAGATATCTAGATTAATAGAATTTAATCTTTTTAATACTATAGTAGGCTAAATACCTTTAAGATTAGCTTATAAAATATTATCTAATATCCAAGCTTACTAAAATAAAGCTTTCTTTAGATAAATAGTAGTAAATTAACTATTCACTATATATTATAGAGCCTTTTTACTACTTTACTATAGTTCTATTTAAAATAAAGGATATTACTATGTATACTATCTTCTAAATCTATAATATGCTATTTATCTATCTAGAAGCTTCGATTTGGAAGCTGTAGCGGAAAAAGGTAAGTTCCATCCGTTCTTTTTTTTATTTATCTGATATTTTTAGTCAAAAAAGCTAATATCTTCTCTTTAGATTCTATAGAAGTAGCATATACTTTAAGCCTGAGAAGTAGCTAAGGCTAAGCTCTCTAACTATTATAGTCAGACAGATACCCCTAAGCTTAGTAAACTATATATATATAGGATAATCCTTATCTCTTAGTATAAGCTCTACTTCTTTTAAACCCCTGATTAGTTAGATCAAGATTATACTAGTTAATATAAGATAAGCTTAAAAGATCGGATCAAACACTATTGAAGTAAATCTACTAGCTATACTAGTATACCCTCTATTATACTTTAGTAGAGTAAGCTTAAAAGCTTACTAACCCTAGAAGTATAGAGTCCTTTTATCTAAGATAAGTTATCTCAATATCTTTAATTAGGTAATTTATACTTTATTACTTCTTTTTTACTACTTGTTTTTACTTTCTTTTAGCACTTTTAGCTATTTACTACTATAGTAATATTTATAGTTATTATAAATCTTTAATGAATCCACTAGTAATATATTTCTATACTAATCTTCTATTTCATTATCTAGTTTTAGTATTTTATAATAATTTGAAAGGAATCCAGTATAATTAAATAACAATTCTAAAAGATTAGTCTGTCTTATTTTAGTATCTAATATTATATCTCTATATAAGATATAGTAACTTTTTTGATAGTAAATATATCTTAAGTCTAATAAATGAAGAAATTTTTATTATAATTAATAATCTAGATATAGTAGATATAACTAGTAACTTTTCTAAATCTAAGTATATCCTATTTAAAACTAAATTTAATCTAGTAAATCTTTATCTTGGAGCTTAAAATTTAGTAAAAGATATCTTTAAGAGCCTTTTCAAATTTAATTTAGACTTTAAGAACTTGAGTCTATTAATCTAGACTCTTTATCTATAAACATACTAGCTAGATCTAGTATCTTAAAGATAAATTTATATAGATATTTTAGGGTCTTAAATATAGAAATATATAACTCTTTTTTTTTATTTTATATAAAGATAAAAGTACTTTAAAAAAACTTCTATTAGCTATCAATCTTATAATATTAATGAATAGTATTTAATAGTAATTTATTTTATATATTAAATCTATCTATAGGATTTATAGATTTTCTTAAAGAAAGATAAAGCTTATCTAATACATTATTAATAGAATAAAAAGAGATTAGTTCTTATTAATAGAGTATTAAATAATCCATTTACTATTATTAGAAGATCTATAAGAAATATTTAAATTACGAGTTATTTATTAAGAATATTATTTTAGATCTACTATACTTAAATATTATAGATATCCTTAATATTTACATATATTACTAACACTATAGAGTTCTATAATAATAATTTAGGATTATATATAAATCAATAAATTAATAATGATTATCTCTCTTTTATTCCTGATAGTCTATTAATAGTATATTGACTATGTAGATAAAATAACTTAACTATAATTATAAGCTAGATTACTAATAAAAAGCTACTACTTTATTATACAGTAGGATTCTTAAAGATTAATCTAGAATAGATAATCTATTACTATTCCTTTACTACCTTACTTTTAATTAGCTAGCTTAACTTTAGAATCTTTCGAATAGGCCCTATAGATATATTTAAGATTTATAATATTAGATCTAGATTAAAGAATAGATAGTTATAGAGTAACTATATAGCTGAATAAAGTTATTTATTATATTAATAGTAGACTTAAAGATATTAAAAAGTTAATCTATAGAAAAAGAAGATATTAGAGTAGTCTTAAGTAGAAACTTAATAATATTAATAATATTGAAGGAGATTTAATAAAAGACTCAGGTATAGGCTTAGAATCTTAAATATATTTATTAAAAACTTGATATTATCTTCAGGATCTTTATTTAACTTAATATTATCTTTAGATATACTATAACCTTTAAAACCCTTAAAATTAGACTTAAATTTATTAATAAGCCTCTCTAAAGTATTATATTTATTCTTAGATAATAATTTAAGAGATGTAAGATAGATAAAAAGAGAATATGTATATATAGAGATAAGTCTAATAGAGGACTTAAAATAGATAAAAAAGGATATATTCATAGAGATAAATCTAGTAGAGAACTTAAAAAAGATAGAATAAGAATACATATATAGGTAAAAAGAGAGAGAGATTTACTATATTTTATAGTAATACCCTACTTTAAAGCCCTACTTCTATATTAGGATATATTTAGGGGTTAAATAATTTAAAGTTTAAAGATAGTATAGGGGTTAGAAGTACTAGCGTAATAAATATAAATTACTTCAATCCTAGAGAGGGAGTAAAATTAGTAAAATAGGGAGTAAATTCAGTAGATCCCTAGATCTATTCTATTTATATAGAAAGGATTCCTATCTAATTACTAAGGGTTAGGCCTTATATAATTATGTTTCTATAAATACTATATTATTATAGTATAGAATTAGTATATATAATTTTGTAGCTATTTCTAGCCTAATTCAGTACTATTATATTATAATAATAAGTATATATTATAATAGTAAGTTAGAGGCTATAAATAGTATAGGCGGTAAATATGACTATCTTTTATCTAGAGTAATCTAGATAGTAGACTTCCTATCTAGACCTATTCTACTAGTCTCTTACTTAGTACTTAATTAGTAAGTATTATAGCTAGGTATATAATTCTATTATTCTATTATAGTACTTATTCCTAGGAACTTAGTTAGCCCTTATCTTCTTTTATAAAAGATACCTAAGATAGGTCTGTAATAAGTAACTATAATCTATTTTAAATATATTTAATCTTAAAGATAATCTTATTACTAGACTCTCTCTTTTAACATATATCCTCATTTCTTATAAATTTATAATATCTATAATTAAATACCTAGAAACTTAAAAGCGTGACCAAACTATATATAAATATTAGTAATCAATTTTATAATTAATTAAATTTATCTATCCTAATTAAGGATAGTATTTAAATTTTATATAAAGATAGGCTAGTGTAGATAATCTATAACCTAATGTATAACGTAATTCACAAGCGGGTCGCGCACCCCACCAGAAAACGTGCTTCTCTACCACCCTACCACTTTCAACTACCCACTATGCCACCAAAACGTGCCCAAAAAGCTCGAAATTCAACCGAGCAGGAGGGTAGGATCCTACTAGCCATCAAAGCCATTAAAAACGACGAATTTATGTCTATCCGCCAAGCTGCACGCGTTTTTACCATACCCGAAAGCACGCTCCGAGACCGTCTACGCGGACGCACCTTTTACGCAGATATACGCGCAAACTCTCACAAATTGACCAAAAACGAAGAGATATCGCTTTATGAATGGATAATACCTATGGACGACCGTGGATCTGCCCCACGACCCTCCATGGTGGCAGATATGGCCAATTTGCTGCCAAAAGAGCGTGGAGAGACCCCCATCACCACGGTCGGCCGAAATTGGGCCACAAACTTCGTTAATGACACCCTACCCTCAAAGCACGATATTCCAGGAGATATAATTACGAACGTGCGAAAATGGAGGATTCTGAGGTTATACAGGAGTGGTTTGACCGTGTGCAAAATACTATACTCAAATATGGTATTACCCCAGCGGATATCTTCAATTTTGACGAAACCGGCTTCGCAATGGGCCTTACGGCTACTGCTAAGGTTATCACACGTGCGGAATACCACGGAAGACGTGCTCTTTTACAGCCTGGTAATCGTGAGTGGGTTACTGTGATCAAGTGTATCTGCTGTGATGGATATGCGCTTCCACCATATATCATCTTTAAGAATAAAATCTTGAATCTTGGATGGGCACATGGCCTTCCATCTGATTAGATCCTCGATATTAGCGAAAACGGATGGACAACGGACGAAATCGGCCTACGTTGGCTTACAAAGGTCATGATTCCAGCACGTATACGTACGCAGGGTGGATATCGACTTCTTATCCTCGACGGGCATGGTAGCCATTTAACACCCGAATTCGACCAATTATGCGCTGCAAATAATATCATACCAATTTGCATGCCTTCATACTCTTCGCACCTTTTACAGCCCTTAGATGTGGGCTGTTTTGCTGTTTTAAAGCGCGCATATGGTCGATTGGTGGAATCTAAGACACGTCTTGGAATCAACCATATTGATAAATTCGACTTTCTTACAGCATACCCAGAAGCACGCACAGATACGTTTAAACCTATTATTATCCAAAATAGCTTCCGGGCTACTGGGGTATATCCATATAACTCTACAGAGGTGCTTTCAAAGCTAAATATCCGTCTGAAAACCCCTACCCCCCCCCCCCCCCCCGGAAGCGCTGGCAGCATATTTTCAGCCAAAACGCCCCAGAACAAAGCACAGCTGCAGAAACAGGTTTCGTCTATCAAAGCGCGCAATAAAAAGCGCGCAGAAAGATCACCTATGCCTACAGAATATATGTTTTATCGGCTAGTAAAAAGCTGTGAAAAGTGGATGAATCGTGCTATCTTTGCTGAGCACGAGAGTAAGCAATTACGTGCAGAAGCGGAGAAACCGAAGCAAAAAAGGGGTCGGAAGAGTACACGGGTCCCAAATCCAGGTGGAATTACTGCTGGAGAGGCCTTACAGGCCCTAAACGCACCCCCAGAGGTCGTTGAAGCGGATATACTACCCCCGGAGGAAGCGCCCGCAGCACCTTTGGTGCAGCGAACCAGGGCATTACCGAAGTGTTCTGAGTGTGGGATTATAGGGCATAAATGCACATATTGTCCAAATAGACGTCAATAGTTTATTTTTAAATATATTGGCGTTTTGGTGGTAGTATATGCTTCTTAAAATAATAGTTGTGGTTAGGTGCGCGACCCGCTTGTGTGCGCGACCCGCTTGTGAATTACGTTAACCTATATAGGGCGAGTATTATATAACGCTAAATAGTTATAGTAAGTATTATTTATTATAGATCTACTTACTAAGATAATACTTAGTCCTAGAGTCTTAATCTTATAACTATACTATTACTAATTAATATTAGGCCTTATATAGACTTAGATCTATAGGATAGACTTAGTAGGTTATGCTAGATAGATTTACTTAGTTAAGCTATACTTAGGATCGATAAAAAGTATTCTAGATACTAAAGATACCTTTTCTAATTAACGTTTATCTTATATGAAACTAATAGATAAATAAACTATTAGCTTCTAAGTAATAATATATAAAATCAAATATAAAGACTATATATATATATAGAAGTAACTATTCTTATATATCTAATCCTTTGTATACTATAGTACTCTAATAGATACATTATATAGTATTATTAGATATACTATATTATCTTAGTAGATAATTGTATTTATTCCTTAATAGCTATTTCTAGTCTATTAAGTACTATTATATTAAAATAATAGATATATATTATAGTAAACTAGACAGTATAAATAGTATAGATAGTAAACCTATTTAAAGTAGCTCTTAGAGTCCTTTATTTGATAAGTATTATAGCTATTTATATAATTCTATCATATTACTTATTCTTAATAATTTAGTTAGTCCTTAACTCTTTCTATAAGATATATTTAAAGTAGATCTATAATATTATCTCTCTCTCTTCTAATTCTTTATTTTTTAAGAATCCTTTAATAATTACTAATCTTTTTAGATAAATATAGTCTATTTTTTTATTATCAATATTTTCTTTTCTTAATTTTCTTATATATTATTATATCTCCTAAATCTATTTAAAAAATATCAATATAATAAATATACTAATAACTACTATTTAGCTAATAGATATAAATACTCTAATATATCTTCTCTTTCTTTTTATAATTATTATTTAATTAAAAATAAATACTATATTTTAAGTCCTTTTACTAAATTAAAGAAGTACTTTTCTTATATCTATTAGGGTTAAGTTTATAAATTTTTATTTTATTCTAACAAAGAATAGAATAAGCTTTAATAAAGAGAAAGTTGTTCCTAATTTACTAAAAGTTTAAAAGCTTTTTTTTTAATATTCCTAAAAAATAAATGAGATAATATCTAAAATACTCTATTTATAATAATAATAAAAATTCCTTAAGGATTATACTAGCTAGATATTAGATTATAATCAGATGATAATAGATTATTTAAATATTTAGGTATAACTCTTTTATATAAAACGCGCCCTATAGCTATAATACCCTAAACGCCTATTAGTAGATAGTAAACTAAGCGTTTTATCTCTATATTTTGATTGAATCTAATTTTAATTTATATATCTTATTAGATAGCCGCTATATACTAAAAAAGTGTAGTTTTATACCCTATAATAGCGAAAAAGTTAAAAAAGAGGCTAAGTATCTATATTATATCTTAAAATATAGTAGCTATAAGCAAGCTAGAAGCGCTAGTAATTAATAGTAGCTATAATCTATATACTATAGTAATAAAATCACTAAAGATAGCTATATTATAGAAATCTACTATAGATAAGAACTATATTCTCTTATGACTAGCTAAGCTATAGAGATTTTTTAATACTATAATCTCCCTAGTTAAGAGAATAAATAATAGTAAGCTACTAGTAGAGCTATAGTATCTATATATGATTCTTAGTAAATATATTAGTAAATAGGCTAATCTTTATTATAAATTATAGATATCTATTAATATCTAGACTATTATAGCTATTACTACTATAATTATAACGTTTATTAGTCCCTACTAGCTAATAAATTACTAAATAGCTATTTATAGTAATACTAAATCCTCTCTTATCTCTAGCTAGCTAAATAGAGCCTATATTAATAGTATACTCTCTACTAACAGTACTAGTCTTAATACTAATTAGGCCTTATATCTACCTATAGATAGCCCTTAAAGGGTAGCCTATAGACCTATCGACAGTCGGTCGGAGAGCTAGTCTAGCCTACCAATAGATTAGGCTAGTCTTTTACTAGCCCTTATAAGGGCTGCCTATAGGCTTTTTAAGGGCTAATAAATAGGATATATAGTATATATACTTTTAAAGACCTATACTTATATATATTATGTAGTTTTTTAGCTATATCTTTAGGTATTTACTTTATACTACTCTTACTGATTTTAACTAGGGTAGTAGTATTTTCTTATAGATTAATAAAAAAAGATAAATAAGAAAGAAGATAAATAATTTATAAGTAGTATTTATAGCTACTAGATATATAACTAGTTTAAAGTTTTTTAGTACTTCTAACCCTTAGTTTCATATCTATTAAGAAATATTAAGTACTACTAAACTCTTTAAATAATATTATATATTAGATAAACTAGGCTTATTACTTATTTTATTCTCTATTAGAGTCCCTTAGCTCTATTTAACTTTGATAAGAGACTAGATTAGAGTAAGAACTTAGATTCTTAATAAAGATATATTACTTTTATTTTTCTTATTATTATTAATAGACTTAAATTATCAAGTAGATATATTCTTCTTTTTCTAATTAGCCTATATCTCTTTAAATAAAAGATATTTATTAATTAAGGCTTAATAGCTATCTTTAATCTTAAATCTTAAATTCTTAATATATATATAAATGTTATAAGATCCTAAATAATTAATAGCTTTAGAGCTATATTAATAGTAATAGATATTCTAAATAGAGTTAAAAAGCTATTTGATATCTATATCTATAGCTAGTATTAAAAGAATATCCTATATAAGATTTATAAAAAGAGGAAACTAATACTAATAGTCTTTTTAAAATATATATATAAGAATATATATAATATTTATAATATAATCTATCTTAGTATAATTCAGTAGTATAGATAATATATAGATAATATAATTTACTATTAGTTAGATATAGACCTCATTAAAAACGTTTTGAGGGCCGGTACTGTTAGGGTTTATGGATAAGATAGAGGGAGAATAGATGGGTTGTAAAAAAGCAGTAATCAGATTTGTATCAAAACTGATTCTTGAAGGAATCGTAGGTACTAAGAGAGAGATGGGCTTTATACCCCGCACTCTCTCGGCAAGGTCAGCTGAGGTCACATGAGAGAACTTCCAGATACTCCTTGTCAGTTTCGTGACAATTATCCCCCCTCTAAGGGGCAACTGCCCCAGTTGACCAGACCCTTCAAGTAATTGCTAAATACAGAACCAAAGACAGAACCGAGAGTTGACAGGAAAGTGTTTGTAGAAAAGAACACGCATCAGTTTTCACAAAGAAAGCAGGGCGATACGACCATCTGTCGCCTGCAAAACAAAGGGGTTTCGATCACGCAATCTGCGTAAAATTCTCAAATGAGAGATTCTTTGATATTGAGGTTTCAGCCTCAGTTTAACCTTTGTTGACAGTAGGAGCGGTTTGTCTTTGTTCTACTGGGAATATCCGACAGGGCAGAGATAGAAAAGGTAAGGAATTACCCTCGCTCCTCTCCTATTATCCACCATTGTTCCCAGCAGAATCGTCATCTTCTTCATCTTCAGGACTAATGCCCTTGCCAAGTGACAGGACACCTCGGGCATCACCTACCCGGGCGTCGTATACTGCTTGTATCGGCTGCTTTGGCCGGGCTGGTACAGCCTTTGTCGCAGGTGACGGATCCCGGGTGGATATAGAGTGTACTTGGGGTACGGTTGCTTCACAGAATTGCGATGGTTGTAATGGTAAGAACGCGGTTTGCCATGTGGTGAGTATCCTCAATTCAGTACTGATTCGGAGCTAATTCGGGGTTGCTTCACTTCTAGGTCCCAATCGGCATGTTGTACGAATCATGGGTTCTCTTTGAGATCCTCGAGTGGGTCGATAATTCTGTCCCTGGCAGCGCAGCACCGAGTACAGGTCTTACTGCTCCAGTTGGTGTAGTTGGCTCTGGTCCCG